AACATTAGGAACATGAAGAAAATTAGTGACATAATAAATAAATGAAATCGGAAAGGGAAGAAGTAGAAAAAAAATAGAATAAATTAGCTCTACTGGAGTAGGTACAGGAAGAACATAAAAAATGATAAAGTCGAAGAAGAGGCAGGAAAGAAAAACGAGTAGAAAAAAACGAGAAGGTGAAGAAAAGAAACAAGCAGAATAAATACGAAAAAAGGAGGCAGAAAAGATGAAAAGAATTTATATGCAGATGATGAAGAAAAATGGATACGATACTAAAGAGGCAAACAACAAGGAAAATGAAAAGAAGAAAAAGTGGACAGATGAAGAAGAAAAGGAAGCAGAAGAGCAAAGGCTTGTAAAAAGGCAAGAGATATATTAGGCTGAAAAAACAGAAGACCAAGGTGAAAGCTGGACAGTACGAAAAGCAACAAGGCGGCTGAAAAATATGAAACATCTCTTTGGACAGCATGAATAAATACAGACTGAACAGAAATTCTGTGGTGGTGATTTGCTGCAAGTCCTCTAGCCCATGAGGTTCCATGTTAAATGCATTATATGGTTACGAAACGAGGTGAACTGAACGCACGCGACTAAGCCGAATACGCATAGGACTGAAACTAATTACAATGTGGCACAGCCAAGTGCAGGATATCTAACATTCTATGATCTTTTCGAGGTTATCTAAGTAAATGAAAAACCAGAAACGAGGCCGAAACGAAGTCACTATCATTATTGAAATTTATGATCACAGATTTTAACGGCGAAAACTTACAGTGCAAAGACAGAAAAATACATTTCTTACTTTACACGGATACTGCGGTAGTGTAAGACAGAAGAAAATGTCACACCTGGCAATACCGCATTATTGCATCGCTCCTCTGATTCTAGACATCTAGGGGGATTATTTAAACAAGTCATTATTTTTGACTCATTTTGAGAGCGGTGTGAGGAACGAATGCCACGACGTTTTTCCGGAGAAACCATTGAGTCTAGTAACATTTTTGTCAGGAAATGCACTGGAGTGAAAGGAGAGAATTCGCGAAACAGCAAATTGGCCACCATGCAGAAAATACTACACTCGAAGAACGGTTGTACAAGCCACTTTAT